TGCTTGTCAAAATCGATCCAACTGAATTGTGGGAAAAGTTGATTACTATTTACCTCAAGCAATTGGGGTGAGTCCTGCTTCAGGGCTGACTCCAGGAAGCTTCTTACCTCACCTAAACAAGTAAGTCCCCTACGCTGGGAGTATTTTTATTTTGTTTTTGAGACAAGAATCTCACTCTGTCACCTAGGCTAGAGTGCAGTGGCAGGGTCTCCCGCTCACTGCACCTCTGCCTCCCGGGTTTAAGCAATTGTGCCTCAGCCTCCCAAGTAGCTGGGATTACAGGCATGTGCCACCACTCCTGGCTAATTTCTGTATTTTTAGTAGAAATGGGGTTTTGTCATGTTGGCCAGACTGGTTTTGAACCCCTCACCTCAGGTGAGCTGCCAGCCTCAGCCTCCCATAAAGTTCTGGGATTACAGGCTTGAACCACCACACCCAGACATCTGGGAGTGTTTTTATTCTTCCCCTAGCTAGGCTGGGGACTCCTTGACAGACTCTCAGCAATGGCCCAGAAAATCTGAGAATGCCCTGAGCTGTTTATGTTGCTGATAAGGACTAAGAGAGGGGATTGCACTCTAACATTTGATAGAGACCCGAAAGTAGCATGTTACCTACTGGGTAATTTCCTAGCAGGAAAATCTGACATTCATTCAGCAAATGTTGCATAAGGGCCTCCTGTGTTTCTCTCAAGGTTGGTCTTAACATAACTTATGAAAAATAGAGGGCCGGGCGCGGTGGCTCAAGCCTGTAATCCCAGCACTTTGGGAGGCCGAGGCGGGTGGATAACGAGGTCAAGAGATCGAGACCATCCTATCCTGGTCAACATGGTGAAACCCCATCTCTACTAAAAAAAAATACAAAAAATTAGCTGGGCATGGTGGCGTGTGCCTGTAATCCCAGCTACTCAGGAGGTTGAGGCAGGAGAATTGCCAGAACCCAGGAGGCGGAGGTTGCGGTGAGCCAAGATCATGCCATTGCAGTCCGGCCTGGGTAACAAGAGTGAAACTCCGTCTCAAAGAAAAAAAAAAAAAAAGAAAAGAAAAATAGATAGTTGGCCAGCATTCCATCTTAATTCTTGGGGAATTCCCAGTTAAAAGCTGGGGTGGGGTTGGAGATAGGAGTTGTTTATGCCTTTTTGGAAAGAGAAGACTTAATTTCCCCTTTTTTACCTTCTTATTCTTATATGACCTTGGGCAAGTTTTTTGTTTTGTTTTGTTATTTAAGATGGAGTCTGGCTCTGTCACCCAGGCTGGAGTGCAGTGGTGCAATCTCTGGACTCACTGCAACCTCCGCCTCCTGGGCTTCCAGGTTCAAGCAATTCTCCTGCCTCAGCATCTCAAGTAGCTGGGATTACAGGCATGTGCCACCAAGCCCGGCTAATTTTTATATATTTTTTAGTGTAGACAGGGTTCACCATGTTGGCCACGCTGGTCTGGAACTCTTGACCTCAGGTGATCCACCCACCTCTGCCTCCCAAAGTGCTAGGATTACAGGTGTGAGCCACCACCCCTGGCCTCTTGGGCAAGTTTTTAACCCTCTAGGCCTCAGTTTCTCTTCTGTAAAATGGGGATACTAACAATACCTAATGAGATTGTAGTGAGGGTTAAATGTTAATATATGTAAAACATTAAGAACAGTACCTAGCATACAGTAAGTGCTATGTAAGATTAGCTGTTACTTATTAAGTGCTCAGGCTGACGGGAAAACTTCTTAGATACCACCACCAATCTGTTTTTTCTTTCCATTTTTTTTCTTGGTCTTTTGGTGCTTTCTTATTTTTATGTCCCATTCTAGCTCCATCTAGACCACTCACTTCTCAGCACTCCTTAGAATACGTTGCCCTGGAGACCACAGCTATGAGATGGTGCTATCATCTGCTTTCCTCTGCTCCTTACTTCTTCCTGTGTATTGTCAAGGGCAGTATGACTGACACAAATACTTGTGCATACACATTGTTAGAGAAAGGTACATTGTTGCTCTATATACTTACCCAAAAGAAAAAATTAAAAGGAGAAAAGCACATTGCTCTTTGGTTCCATCACAGATTCCCCAACCTCATCTGGGCTCACATACTCTTCAGTCTCCAATTTGCTTCTCCTCCCCTTGACTTCAGAAACGTTCCCAAAACCTCTCTTCCCTCGGGTCCCCTACTTAGCCACTTTATTCCCTTCCCTTCCAGGAGACAACCTTGTTTACGTTTTGAAATTTGAGGTCAAGAAACAGGATCTTTAACTCCCTCCTCACCCTCGAAGCCACCACCTATAAACTTATCTATACTCACACTCAGCTTCACCTACTGGTTGCCAAATCCAGTGGGTAGTTTTCAGCCCTTATCTTCCTGGAGCTTTCTGCTACATTTGACACTAGTGATCACTCCCTTTCTTGAAACTCTACTCTCTCGGCTTTTGTAACATGATTCTTTTCTAGCCCTCAGTCAACATACCTGTTCAGTTACCAAATCCAACTTCTGCTTACTATCTCTTGAACCAGTCTCATCCTCTCCATCTTTACTAGCACTATCTTTATTCATATTCTTCTATTTTTTTTTCCCCTGGATTTTTGCAGTAGCCTCCTGATTGGTCTTCCTTCCTCTTCTGCTTTTCTCGCCTCTGAACCTTTTCTCCATTCCAGTCACTGGAGTGATTTATTGAAAAGACAAATCTCATGTCCCACCCACTTCAAACCTTTGGTGGCTCCCCATCATCCATAGGGCTGACCCTGGTTGCCCTTGGCAACCTCTCCAGGTTTATTCCTCACCACTCCTGCTTCACATTTTATGTCTATCAGGACTGTAATGTTTGTAGGCGTCAGTAAACCCCATGTCAATATTCCTTAGCTAACTCCTGTTCTGTTTTGTTTTGTTTTGTTTGAGACAGTGTCTCACTCTTTTATCCAGGCTGGAGTGCAGTGGCATGATTACAGCCCACTGCAGCTGTTCGACCACCCGTTCTCAGGTGATTCTCCCACCTCAGCTTCCTGGGTAGCTGGGACTACAAGTGTGCGCCACCACACCTGGCTAATTTTTTTTGTGTGGTTTTGCCATGATGTCCAAACTGGTCTCAAACTCCTGGGCTCAAGCAGTCCTCCTGCCTCGACTTCGCAAAGTGTTGGGAGTACGGGCGTCAGCCACTGCACCTGGGCCCTGTCAATACTTTTTGACTAACTCCTTTTCATTCTTTAAGGGTCCATTCGAGGCCTCCAGTCACCACATCTTCCCAACCTCCCCATAGTACAGTGGCTACTGCTCTGCCCTTGCACATCAGCACTATTATGGAAGCATTTTCCCCAGTAGACTGTGACCTGCTTGAGGGCAATGTCTGTTCATACTGTCTGCTCAGAGCTCACAGTCTAGCGGGAAGACAACCATATACTAAATAGTCACACAAATGGTTACATAATTGAAATTTCAGTGGTCCATGTAAATTTAACAAACATTTTTCGAGCACCTACTATATGCTCTGTGTCAGACGCTGAGGAACCATGAGGGAACAAAACATATAGGATATGTGTTCACAGAACTCACAGTTTATCCAGGAAGGCAGACATTGAACCGGTCATCAGAAGTCTAAAGTATGACAAATGTTAAAGAAGAGATAAAGCAGGGAGGGTCAGCTGAGCCTGAGGAGGCAGCAGGGAAGCTTCTCTAGGGAAATGAAGCATAGACTTTAAGGATGAACAAGTGTTTTCCAGGTAAAAGGGTTCCTTCATTGTGTTTGCCCACTTGTTTATTTTGAAGAGTTATAACTCTGTATCAGGGAGAGGAAATAATGTGTTAAGATACCCTGAGGCAGAGCAGATGCTAGGGTATTTTAGAAACTTGAGGAAGGCCAGCTGTGTCAGTGAAGGGCACAGTGGCAGTGGATGCTAGTCTGCCAGAAGCCAGGTTATATAGGCCTTGTAAGTAAAGGTGGATTTTCAACATGCCTTTAGGATAGTGTGTAAACTTCAAGAGTGTAAAGCAGCGTGATCTGCCCTGACAGACAAAGCATGCACTGGGTGAAATAAGGAGAATGAAGTAGAGGTAGCTGAGACAACCTGGGAGGAATCCAGATGAAAGAGCAAGTTGACCTGGACTAAGGTGGTAGCAGTGTGGATGGAAAGAGTGAATCGGTAAATGACCTGAGGCACAATCTTATGGTACCATGAAATATTTTAAAAATTTTTAATCAAAATAAATCACCCCTCCACCCCCAATTAAGGAATCCTGAGTCAATTGGAGGCATGTTTACCACCTCCAGAGAAGCCTGTAGCTGATACCTGAGACTGTCCCATTCAGAAACTTCCCAAGCTAATGAAAGCGGGCAGGCCCTTCCCAGAAGAACAAACCACAGGTGTGCTCAAAAACATGCTTTAAAAAAATGCAGGTGACGGCCAGGCATGGTGGCTCACGTCTGTAATCCCAGCACTTTGGGAGGCCTAGGCGGGCAGATCACGATGTCAGGAGTTCAAGACCAGCCTGACCAATATGGTGAAACCCCGTCTCTACTAAAAATACAGCCAGGCGGGGTCCTGTAATCCCAGCTACTTGGGAGGCTGAGGCAGAAGAATTGTTTGAATCTGGGAGGCAGAGGTTGCAGTAAGCCGTGATCGGGTCATTGCACTCCTGTCTGGGCAACGAAGTGAGACTCCGTCTCAACAAAAACATGCAGGTGATTATTCCTGTGTAAAATGAGAGGACTTGCTGGGAGAGTGGCCACTGAGATACTCCAGAAAGGCATCCTAGAGTGGGTGAGTCTCAAGCAAGACAGGATAAGACCTAGAAGTGAGCTGAGGGCCTGCTATCTCAACTGAGGTCTGGGTGCAGGCTGAGAAGCAGATTGGTTTAACAGAAACAAATATGAATTCTGCCCATAGGAGCTTTGTATGTGAATAGAACCTTGGGATGGTAGAACCAAGAAGGCCTCCAAGAGAATCTGATCTTTGTCTTGACCGCTTCCTCCCTTTACTGAATGTAAAATCACATGTCGTTTTACTGATATTAAATTGTAAGAATTACTCATGTGCTCGCTTCAGCAGCACATACACTAAAATTGGAACAGTACGGAGAAGATTAGCATGGCCCCTGCACAAGGATGACACGAAGCTTCATGAAGCGTTCCATATTATTTTTTTTAGTTTATTTAAAAAAATGTAAGTAAAATAAGAAAAGTAAATAAATAGATAAAAAGAATTACTCATAAAAGCTTTTCTAAGCTATTGCTGTTACTAATACATTTTCTTAAACCTGAAGGCAAATGACTACACATACTACCTCATATTTCAACTGAATTTCCCTGAAACAAAAGTAATAATAGAAATACTTTCCTTTGATAAAAAAATCACATACTTTTTTTATGTTATTTGAAACCTGATATGAATATCATGATTTAAAGCATATCAAAGCCATTCATCAAAGTCCGTATTATTTTCAGACTATGCCCCCACTTCCCCAGTTTGCTCTTGAGAATTTCTGATCTGGGTAGGTTACCTCCCTCATTTTATAGGAGAAAAATGAGAACTAGATGAGACTTACTCATGGCCACATAGCTTGTGAGTGCCTAGGCTGAGACTCAGTCCTCATGCTCGGAGTCACAGGAAATTCCCCTTCGCTCTCTGCTGTCAGGTAATCCCAAACCATGGAATTGGGACAAGTGAGCATTGTTTCTGAGCCCAAGCTCCCATGCCATTTGAGATTTCCATGTGTCTGTCTGGTACTGAAGAAGCACAGGGAACAGGAACAAGGGGTGTTGGGGCTAGCTGGCCCTGGCATCCCTCTCTGTCTTCCCACAGTCCTCTGAAGCCTTGGAGTTCATGAAGCGGGACCTGACAGAGTTTACACAGGTGGTGCAGCATGACACGGCCTGTACCATCGCAGCCACGGCCAATGTGGTCAAGGAGAAGCTGGCTGTGAGTACCACCCAAACCCTCACAAGTAACGGCCCCTTGCAACCTGTCCTGCCCTGGGCTCCCAACCTTTCTACCTTTAGGTGATTATTTTTCCCTATGGAGAAAAATATGCAGATTACTTTTCCTCCCATTTTGAAGGAATTGTGTCTGGCAGCCAAACAAATTATTTTAAGTAATAGTTTTCCCACTTACTTATTGTTTTAGCAAATGTTTTGCATTAGCAAAGTCATTCATTGTTGACAATTTATAAATTCAAGTAAAAGAAAAGAGAATGAAAAAAAGGAAGAAAGACCTAGAGACATCCATAACTCCATCTCCCAAAGATAACTACTGTTAATATTTTGGTGGTATATCCCTTATGTATACTTTTTTTTTTTCAAAACTGGCATCAACTGAATACCATGTTTTGTAGCCTATTTTTTTACTTAAATTGCAAAACTTGTTCTAGGGTGTAATAAGTGGTGTGATATTCCACTATGTGGATTGAACCAGTTGCTGCTTTCCTATTTCAGTTTTTTCCAGTATTCTACACAGAGCTACAGTAAACATTCTCATTGCTAAAACTGCCCATTGCCATAATATTTTCTTTATAATAAAACAGTGGAAGGTATCACAGAATGATTAGTGTAAGCCTTTTGCTATCTACTCAAAACTGCCCTCCAGAAGTGTTGTACCCACTTTTCTTACTGTTTGTTCTTGATGTTGTTGTTTTGAGATGGGGTCTCGCTGTGTCACCCAGGGTGGAGTGCAATGGCACGATCTCAGCTCACTGCAGCCTTTGCCTTCTGGGCTCAAGTGATCCTCCCACCTCAGCCTCCTGAATATCTGAGAGTACAGGCGCATGCCACCACATCTGGCTAATTTTTGTATTTTTTGTAGAGATGGGGTTTTACCCTGTTTCCCAGGCTGGTCTCAAACTCATGAGCTCAACTGATCCACCTGCATCTGCCTCCCGAAGTGCTGGGATTACAGGCATGATTTAGCATGCCTGGCTAGTTTGTTGTTTTCTAATTTTAGATTCAGGGGATACGTGCAGGTTTGTTAGGTGGGTATATTGTGTATATGCTGAGGTTTGAGCTTCTAACGAACTCATCACCAAATAGTACCCCACAGATAGTTTTTCAGTCCTTGTCCCCCTCCCCCACAATACTGTTATTAATCAGAAATGTACAGTGGAAACCTCTTATAAGATGGAAGTTAGAGTCTAAAGTCAGCATGAGAAGTAAAAATTGTGGTCAAAGCTATTTCCCCAAAGTTCTGAAGCTTCCAGTGAGGTAAAGCGCACTGTTTTTTATATTACGGTTTTTCCTTTAGCATTGGAACAGATCGCAGCTTCTTAATTTGATCACCCGCTGAATCAATTATCTTGTAATTAATTACTCATGTTATGAAAAATGAGTTTTGGAATTTTTTTTTTTTAAGACGGGGTTTCACCATGTTGCTTAGGCTGGTCTTGAACTCCCGACCTCAGGTGATCTGCCCGCCTTGGCCTCCAAAGTGCTTGGATTACAGGCATGAGCCACCACTCCCAGCCATGGAATATTTTTAGTCAAGCTTATTTTGCTGAATCCTCTTGTAAAATACTGTCCTCCACCTGCTTACCACAGCTTCTGATGAACATGAATAACAAGTTGTAACCCTGCTGAACTGCCATAAGTCTAGCCAAAGCAGAGATATTAACTAGTTTATTTCATTCATTTATTCTTTTTTTTTCATTCGACAAATATTGTTACCTGTAACAGTATGTGCCAGGCATCATAGATTTAAAATGCTTGGGCAGCTTAATCAAGATAAATATTATAATTTTCCATGAGGTTTTTAGAGCCTGACCCTGTTCTCAGCACCCTTTCCCTGCCTGCTGGAGGGCATTCTGCACTGGTCTGTATAGTGACCCTCACTTGGTCCCAGGCAAGCCAAGGCTATCTGTTGTAATCCTGCCCATGTTTCCAAACTGTTGTACAAAGTATTCTATTTCCCAAGCAATGATGATGATGAAATTGTAATATTACAGTGCTGCTGTTTATTAAGTGTATTCTGTGTGCCAGGCATTGTCCATGCCCTATCTTTTAATCTTCATGGTAACCCTATGAAGGATGTATGCTTTTTTTTTTTTTTTTTGAGACAGAGTGTTGCTCTGTCGCCCAGGCTTGAATGCAATGGCGAGATCTTGGCTCACTGCAACCTCCGCCTCCCAGAATCAAGCAATCCTCCTCCCTCCACCTCCTGAGTAGCTGGGACTATAGGCACCTGCCACCATGCCCACCTAATTTTTTGTATTTTTAGTAGAGACAGGATTTCACTATATTGGCCAGGCTGGTCTTGAATTCCTGACCTATGATCTGCCCACCTCGGCCTCCCAAAGTGCTGGGATTACAGGCGTGAGCCACTGCGCCCAGCCACTGATGATGGATGTATACTTAGCCGAATTTTACAGATAAGGAAACTGAGGTTCAGAGAGGGTTTGGTCTCATGATTAACAAGTGGTAGAGCTAGGATTCAAATTCATGTTTAACTCCAAAGCTAGTACCCTTTGCGTCACCCTACCCATAGGCCCTCTTCCCCACTGATAAGTCTATGGCATGGACCTTCTCTGGCCAAGTTTGACCAGCCTGACTGGCCTTGAAATTTTGATGAAACAGCCAATCAAAGATCTCTGCTCTGATCTACACAGGCCTACCATGGCTATGTTCTGCAGCCCCACTTGGAGGATGGGGGACCCTTGCTTCCTCCCTCTCCTTCTCCAGCCCCAGAGATGGGTGAAGGGTCATGAGCACTTTCCTGGTCCCCCAACACACGGTACACCTCTGCCCCAATGTTTTACCCCCATACCCCAGATTGCAGCCTGTTCCCGGGGCACTTGCTTCCTCTGCCCATTCTCTATACAGACGGAAGGCTCCTCGGGAGCAACTGAGAAGATGAAGAAGGGGTTGTCTGACTTCCTGGGGGTGATCTCAGACACCTTTGCCCCCTCGCCAGACAAAACCATCGACTGCGATGTCATCACCCTGATGGGCACACCGTCTGGCACAGCTGAGCCCTATGATGGCACCAAGGTATTCACTAACAGCCTCCCTTACAGATGCCTAACATCTGTAACCTGGGCTTGAACTTCCAATTGGTACTCAAAAAACCAGCCCATGTTCAGGCCAAAAAATAAATACGGGTATATTATTCATAGTAAATCAGAAAATACAGGTAAGCAAGGACAAGATAATTATTTTAAAACTCATAATTGCATCACCCAAAGAGAACTCCTGATTTCTTAATTGGTATATAACCTTACTTTTTTTTTTTTTTTTTTTTTTTTTTGAGACGGAGTTTCGCTCTTGTTTACCCGGGCTGGAGTGCAATGGCGCGATCTCGGCTCACCGCAACCTCCACCTCCTGGGTTCAGGAAATTCTCCTGCCTCAGCCTCCTAAGTAGCTGGGATTACAGGCATGCACCACCGTGCCCAGCTAATTTTTTGTAATTTTTTTAGTAGAGACGGGGTTTCACCATGTTGACCAGGATGGTCTCGATCTCTTGACCTCGTGATCCACCCGCCTCGGCCTCCCAAAGTGCTGGGATTACAGGCGTGAGCCACCGCGCCCGGCATAACCTTACATTTGTTTTTGTTTGTAAACACAGGTAAGGATAGTTTGTTGTTTTTCTTTTTAACAAAATACATTTTATACATGCAGCTTTGTAACCTACTTTTAAAAAGCCAATAAACTTAGCATCTTTCTTTTTTTTTTTTTTTTTTTGAGACAGTGTTTTGCTCTGTCACCAGGCGCCAGGCTAGAGTACAGTGGCGCGATCTCAGCTCACTGCAACCTCCGCCTCCCGGGTTCAAGCAATTCTCCTGCCTCAGCCTCCTGAGTAGCTGGGACTACAGGCGTGCACCACCACGCCCAGCTAATTTTTGTAATTTTTTTTAGTAGAGAAGGGGTTGCATCATGTTAGCCAGGATGGTTTCAATCTCTTGACCTTGTGATCCACCCGCCTCGGCCTCCCAAAGTGCTGGGATTACAGGCATGAGCCACCACGCCTGGCCATCTTTCTTAATCATCATCTTTTTTTTTTTTTAATGAAACAGGGTCTCATTCTATCACCCAAGCTCTCTCTGGGCTCAGTGGCACAATCACGGCTCATTGTAGCCTCAACTTTCCAGGCTCAAGGGTCCTTCCACCTCAGTCTCCTGAGTAGCTGGGACCACTGGTGTGAAGCACCACACCCAACTA